CAAATTCTGTAAATCCATTCGTAATTGACCATAGAAACGGTCAAAACCATAACCCTTAAATCGCATACACAAAAACTCACATCAAGAACAGATGTCTCAAGCCTAACAACCCAGATTGAGATTATTCCTCATGTAGCCACTATCTCAAAAGCCAAAATAACCATTTTTGTAATATTTTCCTTGGTTATATGAACGTTCATTTTCAATTCATTATGCAAACATCATGTGAATGTTCTCTTCTGAACGATGCTATGAGCTCTAGTGCTAAACTATAAAACTAAACTAAACAGCTAATTCATTAAATCATGGAAATAAAGGAGCTCCACAGAATAAAAACATAAAAAGGGCAATGTGCAACTTTTTATATCACAATTCAGACCTTTTTTCATATAAGCTCTGAGAATTGTGATATAAACAAACTCAGAATTTTGCAATTTTCTTGCAATTCTGAATGTACAATTTCTGACTTTTTTTCTCCGAATTGCGGGAAAAAATTCAGAATTTTTCAATTCAAATAGTTTTCAAGTTATCTTTTAATTTGCTGTCAAAATTAACATTGACATTACTGTACGAATATTTTCTTTGTAATTTTGACAGAACCTTTACAGAATATTAGTATTAGTTCTCAGAGGGTTCCCTGTCAGCTGGGAAGAGAGTGTCAACCAAAGATTTTGCTTTCTGTTCACTGCAAACATACAAAACAGAAAGCAACAAGCTGACAACTGGCATGTTTAAGATTCATAAGATCCAAAACCTGTATCAAATAATCTGAATTCCACACTAACGGTGTCTATTTGGGCTGCTGAAGAGTTTTTAGATCAAGACCACAGTGGTCTCCACATTTTTTTTATTAAAATTTCCCAATTACAACTCTCAGATAGATGATGTGTAAATATATTTGACTAAATATGCTATGTTGCCATTTCATATTCTAATTGCATAAGTGAATGAGAGGAAAGTGGAGTGTGTTAATGAATTAAATCAATAATTATTTGCATTGATCCATGTCAGTATTGATTATTCCAAAACGCTTTGCGAATTCCAATCTGCATTCTTAGTGAGATTCAAAGTTTACAGAAGGCCTCTGAGTCCAAAGTGTTTATATAGAGATGAAATACTCACCTTCAGGAGTGAAGTGACTGGAAAACGGTCACAAATAAATGGAATCAATGTAATCAGCTAACAGCTGAATGCCATTGCCAGTTTCACACCATTTGTGTTTTAGTTGCTCCCAGGGCTCCATCTAAATCCAGCATAGGAAATATTCTTAATTAGATTACATAAGAAATATAATTTCTTAATCACACAGCCTGTTTCATCGTATTGTAAATAAGTGACATTTTTTCCTACTCTAAATTTTCCATTATTTATGACTGTTTTTACTCTGCTAATATATATCACCCTAGTGAAGTCCATTTCTGCAAAAGACAAAAAACAGATTATAAGGAGAGTTAATGCTCGTAGGTGTGCAGAAAATGTAATGCATCTTTTCAAAAATTACTAAAAGCCTTTCATATTCTCTTTTGGAAAAGTATAGGCTACTAAAAACAACCAGTAAAAAGGTAATACATGAAAGACAATCAAATACACTGTAAGCATGACACCAAGGGTTGTTGGTGAGGACGTAACTGTGCAAACCTTAATCAAAGTGTAATTCATTCCTCTGTGTGTGTTTGAGCTACAGGGTTAAGGTCACTCTAGTGATTAATTAGGACACTGAAAGAGGTACGACGTCACTTTGGGCTTGCTGACCTTGATAGCTGTAAATCTGTTGGCCAACATATTTCTTTGTGATGGTCTGAGACCTGTTGGCCACTGCTTAGTGGATTCTTTGCCTAATTTCATCAGCTGTATATAAATATTATATACATATATTCTAGCAGAATGTAAACCTGGAAACAGGATGTGTTTGCACATATACAGCACTGAAGTATATATATGAGCATGGATGTGAAAATAAGAGAGAAAAATGCACTATTATTTCAAAGGATAAGGATAAAAAAACAAAACTCTGAACTGACACATCGGGTGACCTGAGTTCAAGTCCCAGTTAGTGGACTTGAGTACCGCTTAGTCCCCCTCAGTCCTCCACAAAGCTTCCTGTGCAGTCTATATTATATTATACATATTATGTTATACATTTTATATATATATATATATATACAGTATGTATATATATATATATATATATATATATACAATATATATATATATATATATATATAAAATGTATAACAGCAAACTGAAACACTACAACGTGTGCAATTAGAATATAACTATATCAATACTTTTATTTTCCTCTGAATTCTGATCTTCTTCCGGACATAATTATTAGCCAGACCAGAAGTATTAACAAACATTCGGCTACTGACTGCGTCGTATGTATATATATATATATATATATATATATACAGTATATATATATATATATATATATATATACAGTATATATATATATATATATATATATATACAGTATATATATATATATATATATATATATATATAGCCAATTTCCAAATTTCTGTGTACTGTAATTTGTATCATATTGCGATATTTATTTATTCATCAACCCAAAATCCATATAGTGGTCACTTTATTTCTTTTCTTTCTTTTTAATAATGTCTTAATATCCATGCAGTTTTTAACATTGCAAATTTGGGTCTACATGCAGTCACACATTTTCACTTTCAATTGATTTCTTTAAGAAATATTCAGTTATTTCAAATAAATAAGTTGTCTTACAAAAATCATATATATCATGCATAATATATGAAAATATTCTTCTCAACACATTTGAGACGCTTCTCTAAACAGCATGATTTATACGGTCCCCTAGTGGTGTTTTTGCCACAATGCACAATGGATATACAGTTATCTTCAGAAACATGTATCCAGAATTTGCTAAATATTTAGCTTTTTGGTGAAGTAGAATAACAATTACACTCTCTTAAGCTAGTTGCAACAGTTTGCCTTTGCAAAATCAGTCTGACTGTGCTATCTAAAGTGACACACAGGAAACACTGATTGGCTTATGTCTATCACTTTGAAGACTGACATACCAATAACAGAAGTTTCCAGATCAATAAAGGAGGCTCGCTGCTGGACACGTTTTCCAGCATTTAGTTTTCCACATAGTTCTCGCTGAAGAAGGGGGTAAAGGGGTCATCATGCATTGGTTCACCGGCAGCTGGTGTCTGGAATCTGGCCATCAGGCTGAAAGCTGTGCTCCGAACTGCACAGCTCCCCAAAGCTTTTACTCATTTGGACACTCGTCTGGCCCACATAAACAAATATCTGCTGTATGGAAAGAAAGAAGAAGAAGAAGAAAAAGTACGACTATTGGTTTTTTGTTTTGTTTTTGGTTTTTTGGTCTGTCAATTAATAATGTATTTTTGTCATAAACCTGGGCCTTTGTTACCAAGCTGTCTGACTTAAACTTTAAGTGCAATATTTTTCAGCTACATTCATTAGTTGCAAACATGGACAGATCATAAATAAATACGCACCAGTGCTACAAATTACACCATGTGGTAATCAGTCAGATGCTATTAGCATATAGACTTCTGATTTGTTCTGTCTGTAAATAAATGGCCAGCTTAAAGTGCCCTAATTTAACAGTCAAGCAGATGAGGAAACTGGTTCATCCAGTCACGGTTACGGTAACAGAACAAATCAAACACCAGCAATGTCAATAATGCTATTCAATTCTGAGATGTACAAGGGAGATGTTTATTCAAATCTTTTAGGGAAATTAACAGAAATGTAGAAAATTTACTTTATTGGATTCGCATATTCCATGACAATTAACCATGCAGTAAACTTGAAAGAAACATTTACTACTCTGAATGAAAAATTCTGCCAAAAGGTTTTTCTGCCATCTGCTGGTCAAATTGTTAAATGGATTGTTTATTCGGATTATGCCATGTTTCTCGTTTACCTTTTACCACCACTAGGGGCTAGCATAAAAATTTATCCCATCTTTAGAGTAAAGTAAAAGTTAACATTAAAGTTGAATGAGTTTATAAAATGACAGTCGACATATGGAGTCAATATTTATCTGTAGAATGAAGAAATTATTTACCAAACAATATATAAGACTAATGACATACTTTTTTTTGGTTTGGTTGTAATAACAATACATGCCAGAGGAAAGCTGGAAGCAGAACATGAAACAGTGAAATGTAATCTTCTACACACACATTAAGAGTAAAAGTCTTACTTCTGAAGTAAAGTGATCCCTGTACAGTCGTGTTTTAATTTGAAGGCACTTTTGTAAACAGATACATGTAGTCACAGAGACATGAAATTGATAAATCAAGAACTAAAAAATCCTCTTAATTCTGTTCACATTCAAACAGGCTTTGTCTGAGCAGCAGATACTCAGGCTAGGGTTACAAGAAAAAGGATGTGCACTGTGTTTTTGCAATTTTCAGGAAGTCACATAAAAGAAAATTTTAAGGTATATAGTTCTCAGTATCTATATAAGTCAATCTGAGCAACTATTGTATTATTTTTCACTCTCCTGCAACAAACCTCATTCAGAGCACACAGAGAGGATATCACATTACTCTTTGTAATAAGAGGAGCCATTATTAATTCATGAAAGTGGTTCCTCTGCATGAGTAACCTACAAATTATTTCTTAAGATATATGCTTCTTTGTGTTGAGAATACATGAACCAAGATTTTGCACATGTAAAGGCATAAAGTTTGCTCAGCTGTGCTTGTCAGAATGCTCCCCAGAGGATCAAAGGAGCTTTTTGTGATATTGTTCATCACCAGTCTATTCAAATTCATACCTTGCACTAACAATAAGCTATTCCTATGAGTGTAGGAGGTGCTAACCTCATTTTTCTTTTTGTCTTCCTCCTTTTTCAGCCTGAAGATAGTATCGACATCAGCGGTTTCTCCGATTACAAAGAACACTGTAGCCGCATGATGCTCCAGGTATAAATAAATGTTCGGTGTCAGACTTTGACACATTTAGAGCTTCGTTCCGAACCCTGAGCATCGGCTGGAAGACAAAATACAATATGGTAACACATACCAACTTTTTTTCTATTACACATTATTTCAATATTCATATATTTGGTCTGTATGATTAAATAAATTAATATGAAAGTAAATAATTCTCAATCTGCAGCGTGAGTGCATTTCCGTTCATGTTGGCCAAGCTGGAGCACAGATTGGTAATGCATGCTGGGAGCTTTACTGTCTAGAGCACGGTATCCAGCCGGATGGACAGATGCCCAGTGATAAGACAAAAGGAGGAGGAGATGATTCCTTCAACACCTTCTTCAGTGAGACGGCTTCAGGAAAACATGTTCCACGTGCCATCTTTGTTGATCTGGAACCCACTGTGATTGGTATGGGACAAATTTAAAAATGGTTTAAAATAGCATGTACATGAGAATACTAAAATGATGTCCTTCTAGTGAATTGAAAGAAAAAAGTCTGATTGAAACTGCCTTCTTTGAATGTAGATGAAGTACGGACCGGCACCTACCGCCACCTCTTTCACCCAGAACAACTCATCACTGGAAAAGAGGACGCCGCCAATAACTATGCCAGGGGACATTACACCATTGGCAAGGAGATCATTGATTCAGTTCTGGATCGTATGCGCAAACTGGTAATACTTTTCAGTCTAATTTAGGGTAATAATGTAAAGATGTAAAAATGAGTCTTTTTGGTAAGCTCTTTTTCTCTTTTCTTTCAAAAGAGTGATCAGTGCACTGGCCTCCAAGGTTTCCTGGTGTTCCACAGCTTTGGTGGAGGTACTGGCTGAGGACGGTGTGGAATTTTAAATGCAGATTGTTTGTAATCTCAGGGTAATCTAATATTAATTTTATCTTCTAAAATGCAGCATTTTAGTGTTTTGGGGGGCTTTACATTCTTTGGTATCACTTCATAATGAGATTCTATGAGTTAACATTAGTTAATGCAATAGCTAACATAAAATATTAATGAAAAATACTTTTACAGCATTTATTAATCTTTGGTCATTTCTACATTTAAACATTTTAAATTGTATAAATTAACATATGTTAATGAATTAACACACATATGATCAATAATAAATGTTTTTTAATTAACCTCGATTAGTCAATAGTGTAAAAGCGTACATTGCTAGTTCATGAAATGTTTATGGTTTGTTCATGTTAATGCATTAACTAAATGTTCCTAATTCTTTTTCTGTTTTTTTTTTAATGTTTAATGCAAAAGTTAAATCTATTAAAAAAGTTCAAATTAACTGTAAAAGCAGTAGTAGAAGCTGTAAAAAGTCTGGTGACAAGTTCTTTCTAAAAATGTGTTATCTGCACTCCTTTCATGATACAGTATACAGTTGAACATGTTATTTGTTTAAAAATCTGAATATATTTGCACATGCAAAAGTGATAAAGGCCTACATGCAAAACAGAATATTTTCCAGGAAGACACCCTTCCCCCCATCGGTGTCTATGCAGCACAAAAACGACCAACTGCTATAGCTGTTATTCATGATTCAGCTGTTTGTACATGTCACTGGGCATCACTATGAAAGGCTGGATAATGTCTCTGCTTTCATTATCACTGTAGCACAGAAATTAAAGTCTGATGACAACTGGGCCTGTGTGTCTCTTTCTGTATAGCAAAAACCATGTATATAGAAAATCTTAGTCAATAGTGCTTTTTATGCATTGTAAACAGAGAAAGAGATAAAGACATATCTGTTTTCAAATATAGGGCTCTGTTTACAGTACTTTGACACAAATTTTTTTTTTTACACACAATAGACTTGTGAAGTAATTACTGATGTGAAATGACACTTTCACCCTGAAGTCTTTAAACTTGCTTTTCTTCATGCAGGAATCACAAAGAATTCAGAATCCTGCTGTAAGCATATTACAAATAAGATATCAATTTTCCTACAGTTGCTATGCAACTTTAACACATGACCATGGAGAATTTTGACATATAGTCTGTAAAATTCCTTCCTGGCTTTTAGCATTATCGAATGCCCAAAAAGCTGGTAAAGGGGCCAGATGGTTTTTTTCACAGACCCAAAAGTCCCAAGAGGGAGCTAGACTACGCTTGTGTAGGAAGGACGGCCCTTCTGAATGACTTTCCTCACTCCGACAGGCGATCCCACTTCCTGCTAACCCCCTCTCTTCCTCCTCCCTCTTCCTTCTCTATAAAAACCCCACCTCTCCTTTCTTCTCTACATCTGCCTTCTCTTTCCGAATCCTCAAGTCGGCCTGAAGGGAAATCTGACAAGATGGTAAGTTCATAGTGCTTGATCGATTCTTAATTCTAATCTTTTTATATACCGCTCCATTAAAATGCACATATGTGCATTATTTCACATTTAGTGCACTTAAGGCATGTTAAAAGATTTCAGTAAACTCTATGATAGCTTAAAAATTCTCTTACATGTATTATTTTTGTGTGGAAGACAAAGTTAGCAGCACGGTAGTTCAACTATTGAAACAGGTTTATAAAAATAATCAAACGTAAATCATTAAGCCATGCTGAGTTTCAGGCACAAAGCTGGCCTTTCATTATACAGAGGATGTGGCTACGGCCTTCAAAGCCTGATCCCAGACTATGACACATGTCAGCAGGAAACTCCAGTACTTTGCCTTTTCTGAATATAACATTTATCTATGTTTGGTGGGTCTGCAGAGCCAAAATAGCTCACTGAAACTCAGTCAACTAAAGAGGAGGAAAAGGGGAACTACAGCATGAGACATGCAATTATTACTCAGAAACTAAATACATTCATGCCTTTATGACATACAGAGAGGCATTGGTAGTAGATGAGATCATGAGTGACAAAATCTGGAGCATAGCAGAATAATAGATATAACTGTTCTAGTGAAAAGCCCTGAGAGAGATATCTCTGTGTTACACAAAGGAGAGTGTACAGCTGGGACAGGGAGGGGGTGGACTGAGGCCTCAAAGGAACGCGCTCAGTCTCTTCTTCTGTACACTAGAGATCCTATGACCCAGTCTAGAGGAGAGGGTAAACATGCATGTAAATGTAATTAGAAGAGAAAAAAAACTGAGTTCTCCATTGAACAATAGGTCCAAAAGCTTAGGAAAATGCATGAAGTTGACAGTATTGAGCTTTGGGTGAGCTCAGTCAGCATGTTAACCTAACTATATAAATTCCTTATCCATCTTATTTTTCAACGCGGAATTAAGCCGTTTTTCTGTGAATGTGCGAGACTTCCGGTTCATTAGCCGCTGTAGGGAAATAACGAGAAGAATAACAACGTGCAGTAAATGGTAAAACTGTTTGCACTACAAACCAGTGTGTTCATAACTAAGACAATACATTAAAATATTATGGTAAGACAACAATTTGCAATATCAGGCAGCAAAACCAGCTGTTTTGTACAGCTAAAAATAGCTGGAAGCAGATGACACCAGAAGCCTGACACATTAAATTTACAAATGGCCGCGCCCACTCTTATGGGAAAAATAAGATGGATTCAAAACAATAAAAGAACATTTAGTTCAGTGGTTCTCAGCCTTTTTGACTTCAAGGCCCCTGCACTGGCTACAACAAAACTCAAGGCGCCCTAGTTTTGTTTTCAAAACTTATTTTACTCTACGGGCTAGTTTCTTTATAAAACATGAACTAAAATAATTGTAATTAAAATAATTAAATACATGACAAACGAGTTTGTTTGGCATAACTAGGAAATATTTACATTCATTATAAAAATGCCCATAACATTTAAAGATTTTATTTCTTTAAATTACTTTTCCAGGTCTAAAAAAAAAAAAAAATCTGGTTTTCCTAGACTTTGGGAACCCTGATTCTTCAAAGGAAATAAACCATTAATAATGGGAGTAAATCAAAATAAGGAATATCTTGATATGTATTTATTTATGTTTATTTTAATGCTTGTTTTGTCATATTTTAAATAACTTTAAGTCACCTTGAGGTTCCCCTAGGAAGTTTGCTGAGAACTGGCCCCCTCGGTTTAATATTAAATAGTTAAATAAAAGTTAAATATTAGGAGCTAACATGTCTACTATGTCTTATTAGCTTAGAGCATTTAGCAAAGATATGTACAGCTGCCACTTATATTCATATTTTTAATATAACTCTCCTTCTTCCTTTAGCGTGAGTGTATCTCTATGCATGTTGGCCAAGCTGGGGCCCAAATGGGAAATGCATGCTGGGAGCTTTACTGTCTGGAGCACGGTATTCAGCCAGATGGACAGATGCCCAGTGATAAGACAATAGGAGGAGGAGATGATTCCTTCAACACCTTCTTCAGTGAGACTGGAGCAGGGAAACATGTTCCACGTGCCATCTTTGTTGATCTGGAACCCACTGTGATTGGTAAGTTGAACCTGAGAAACAGAATATAACCCATTTAAATGATCATGAAAACCATTTTACAAAATATTGGAAAAGCAACAGTTTTACAAAATATATTTCCTGATAAGTAATCATTTTTATGGAAATTACCTTTATTTGTTTTTCTTGATTTATTGGACCATTTAGATTTGTTCTTCTTATTATTTGCTACTGTGAATAAAAAAAGAACAGGAATTTAGGCTTTTCCGTTTTTTTCCTCTTCAGATGAGGTGCGCACAGGCATATATCGCCAGCTGTTCCATCCTGAGCAGCTAATTACTGGCAAAGAAGATGCTGCCAATAACTATGCCCGTGGTCATTACACCATTGGTAAAGAGATCATTGACCTAGTGCTGGACAGGACCCGCAAACTGGTGAGGTCTACAAAAAATTCAACCTGGAAAGGTCTCAAGTCTTTTGAGTGCAAAATGAATTTGACTTAATAATAATGAAAATGTAATTTCTGATAAGCTGATTTACTCCAACAGGCTGATCAGTGCACTGGCCTTCAAGGATTTCTCATCTTCCACAGCTTTGGTGGAGGTACTGGCTCTGGCTTCACCTCTCTGCTGATGGAGCGCCTCTCTGTCGACTACGGCAAGAAGTCCAAGCTCGAGTTTGCCATCTATCCTGCTCCTCAAGTGTCCACAGCGGTGGTGGAGCCCTACAACTCCATCCTGACCACCCACACCACCCTGGAGCACTCTGACTGTGCCTTCATGGTGGACAATGAAGCCATCTATGACATCTGTCGTAAAAACCTGGACATCGAGCGTCCGTCTTACACCAACCTCAACAGGCTCATTGGGCAGATCGTGTCCTCCATCACGGCCTCGCTGAGATTTGACGGAGCTCTGAATGTGGATCTCACCGAGTTCCAAACCAACTTGGTGCCCTACCCACGTATTCATTTCCCTCTGGCTACATACGCTCCTGTGATCTCTGCTGAAAAGGCGTATCATGAGCAGCTCTCTGTGGCTGACATAACCAACGCCTGCTTTGAGCCGTCTAATCAGATGGTAAAGTGTGATCCTCGTCATGGTAAATACATGGCCTGCTGCCTTCTGTATCGTGGAGATGTGGTGCCCAAAGACGTCAATTCTGCCATCGCTGCCATTAAGACCAAACGCACCATCCAGTTTGTTGACTGGTGTCCCACTGGATTCAAAGTAGGTATCAACTATCAGCCTCCAACTGTGGTTCCTGGGGGAGATCTGGCCAAAGTTCAGAGAGCCGTCTGCATGCTGAGCAACACTACAGCCATTGCTGAGGCCTGGGCTCGTCTAGACCACAAGTTTGACCTGATGTACGCCAAGAGAGCATTCGTGCACTGGTATGTGGGTGAAGGAATGGAGGAAGGAGAGTTCTCAGAGGCCAGAGAAGATATGGCAGCTCTGGAGAAAGATTATGAAGAAGTCGGCACCGACAGCGTCGGAGATGAGGACGAAGAGGGAGAAGAATATTAAAGAGGCAGAATTAATGCCTGGCAAAATTAAATCTGATTTTTGCAAAACACAAAGTTACTTGAAATTCAATTTGCATTACAATTGGTTTTACATTAATAAAATTTGAATAATAAAAGGTAGAATTTATTCTTGTGTGTTGTCTCTCTGGTCTCAGACATAATACTTCTATGAAAAATATTTTACAATTAAACAAGTTCATATTTAATTATTTCATATTTTTAGCACCTTTTGTTGAATTATTTATTGTGCCTTCTGTGTTTTCTTGTCCATACCTAGACTAAGAAAAAATGATAAGGCTGCCAAGATAAAGCAATCCATTTAAGATATCTTCTAAAGTTTTTAAAGCATTTAAAATGGCATTTGAAATATCTTTTGAGTTAGAGAGAGTAAATGTCTCACATTGCAGCAATAAAATATCAGTAGGCATTAAGGAAGTCTGTAATATCTGGAGAGATTTCTCATGAATATGTGATTAATTACTCTACTGTATGTACACTTAAGTCATTTATTTATTTGTAATTTGCCGCATTCAATAAAAAAATTCATTTCACACATTTTTAAAATATAAATTCATTTCACACGTTTTTAAAAACTACATACACAGATACTTTGGGATTGCAGTCGATAGAGATACCATGGGATCAAGGTAAGGCTGGTTAGCATGGGCAATTAGCTGCTGGTAGATGTAACTACATTCTACAGGCAAAAAAAGTTATTTTTCTCTATAGACAGCCATAACATGTATGAAATGGTGATTAGCTCAAAGAAAAAAAATATGACACCTAGTGTTATACTGACACCTAGTGTCATGCAGCAGCTTGCAAAAGTTTAACATTGCGGAATTTTTTATTTATTTTTTGCAGTCAACCAGGGTGGATGAAGTACACAAATGAATAGGTTTGCAGCTTGACGTGCTGTGAGGGCTTGTGTGCATCAGTGATGCTGAGAGCTATGCCACTGGTACTTCACAGCTACTGTAGGGTCACCCATAGTGGACAGGTCTCAGCTGAGATGCCAGACGAAGACAAACCACCTGATTCTGGACAGCAGCAGATTGACCTGATGTTCCTGGCAGAAGATCACAGTCTTGTGTTTACGGGTAAGTTGAATAGACAAACAGTATATAATAGCTGTCAACTGAAGTTAGTACATTATTTTGTACATTTACATATTTTTCTGTTTTCGGTTTTCAATTTGTTACATTTTCCTTTTATGCATCAAGACAAAAAGTAGGATATTATGTGTTTGTCTTTAAAGGGATCATTCACCCATCACAAGAGAAGATATCTTGATATCATATTAACTCAATGTGGTCTAATGTTGTTTTTGAACACTGACTTTTATTGCATGTACAAACAGCTGAAACATTCTTCAAAATATGTTAAGTTGAAGAAATAAAGTCATACAGGTTTGGAAAGACATGAGGGTGAGTACAACATGACAGAATTTTCATTTTTGATTGAATTGTTCCTTTAATGTCTGTGAGCTTGATTTCCTGAAGGCCAGTTTAAAGTGTGATCTGCTTTTGACTCACAAATACTAGATTCATCACAATCACAATCACATGTCTGTCATTTGTAAAGTAAAAATTCCCCCGCAAATGACCTAACCATATTTCGCCGAACACCGAGGTCCTGTGATAATATTAGTCCCGTGCGAATCGGCATCTCTGTGATTTGGCCTGCATTTGGCGGGTCGTATATCATTTTTCGAGGTTTTTGTTTCCTGTGCGCTTTTTTATCCATCTTTCGCGAAGAATGATATGTAATTTCAAAATCACACAAGGTCCCCAGATAATACTAATCCCGTGCGAATAGGGCATAGGCTATGCATGTATATGGCATAGGCTATAATTTTAGTCAATGAAAAAGTGCCAAACCGCAAGACCTTCAACCAAACCCTTTTGATATAAATCCTACGCTAAAAAACTGAGCTCAGGAAATAAATTAGGCAGCTCGTGGGTTTTAAAATAGAGGAGGCACACTAATTGTATTGGTCTGTGATCCCTGCCGATTATTATTATTATTTGCTTAACCACTTTAAAATGGATTTTTGGTTGCTTTTAGTCAGAAAACGTAAAGAAAACGATACTCATCATTAGTACTTGGTACATTATCAGCGCAGCGGGAGACGTTCAAACTAATATCAGGTAATTTACGTCTCTGTGATGATTGGTTGATATCAGAAGAGAGGCTAGCCTCCTCTACAGAGGTTTCTTTTCTCAACACTCCTCAGCGCTGAAAGTGAACACTGGATGGTGATTGGCTAATGTTTTTTTACCAACGGAGGCACGAGAGCTCAGCTCTTCCCCGGCCTCCGCCTCCCCTTCTCTATCATTAGCGGTTATAATTACATCAGCAGATTCGGCACATTCGCCATAGAAAAGCGGCGCTTTCACGTTATGGTATTACAACTGTGAAATTACAAACAAAAAATACACATTCTGAGACATGAACTGAAATGAATTGTGAATTTTATTAACATTAAATCGTCCTCCTCCCATTTTCACCTCAAAATTATGGGGAAGCTGTGCCTCCCCTGCCTCCCCCGAGCCGCCACCTACTTCTGATAATAATTTAGTATGTAATAATTCAATATGCTGAGTTATATGCTGACTTGGAGATATTTTTTATTGTTTATTTATTGTGCTGATAATAATAATAATATCTGTGAGCTGAAAGTGATTAATAGTCTAATTATAAACAGCTGAACAGCAGTGCACAGGATTCTGATGTTGATGCTCATGCCAGGAATCAGCTGGAATTAGTGGTGGAGAACATGTGCTGCAGCTCATAATGTCCTGGGACTTTCACCTGTTCTGCTATTCATTGTATGAGACTAGAGGCTTTGTAGGCCCACGCCATGATCTTAGCACAGGTGGTTTCTGTTTTTAGCTGATGTGAACCAGCAGACAAAGGAGATTCACAGAATCTCCAGTAAGGGTGTAAGTGCATAAAATAAATTAAAATAAGAAATGAATCGTTTAGTGTGATTTGTGAACCTATCCAGCAGGTTATATTCAAAGATTCCGCCAACTCTATGTGTTTTGTAGTAAATGCTTATGAAATGGTGTAAAATGTAGGCAACCATAGGCCTACTATGCTTAGGAATTTGGGAAATAATTTTAAATTACTTGTCTGGCAGAGTAGTAGCACTGGAATCTGATCATCTTAAAGACATTTAAAGAAAAAAATTAAGAAAATGTTGGGTAAAGAGTTTACTAAACCTAAAGCTTTACATTTTTATTTATTATTACTATTATTATCATTCTTATTTATTTATTCTTTATTTCAGCATTTTTAGGTTGCTGAAATGTACCCACAACAGGATCAGCTGTCAGTTTACAGACTGATATGAAATCTGCTCAACATAAATTTGTAGGCTTTTCTTTTATTATCTTTTATCTTATATGGGCTTTGGAAGACATAAGGGTGAGTAAATGATGACAATGTTTTCATTTTCTGAGTGGACAATCCCTAAACATTGCTGCCTTTAAGTGAATAGCACGCATTATCTTGCAGATTAAAAAGAGGCTTTATTCATTCATCTAATTTAAATATTTATTTCAAAGTCTGCGTCCATATTTTAGCGCAGTTCCTGTTTTTATGACATTTGTTAAACTAGTAGTACAATCCGTTCAGAATTCTGAGCCTGATGCGATGCGTTATCTTTCTTTAAACACCATTAATACATTCATTAGTTCATTCTGATTAGTACTTTGACTGGCATGCGCTTCTGTTCGGCACATGGCTCAGTAGTGGGCGGGGCTCGTGACGTAAACAAACACTGGCTTGTTCTCGACCGAGCTCTGTTTTATCGGACCGCAGCTCAGCTGATCGTGACGCACAGCATTGGCGGCACAGGGCGAAGGACAGACGCATATAGAAGCTGGGTGTCGGTTTCACGCTGAAGCAGTAATGAAGCCCAGTGTGCCGACGGCAAATGGCTGATTCTGACGGAATTCCGTACCCACGCGTACGTTAAAAGAGCGTCAGTTCCTGTGATCCGCGTCTTGGGAGACGGGACGGACTAGAGCTGCAGCGAAATATCTCAGCCCTGTTTACAGAAGCACGGCTCCTCCTGGCTGGATATACTTCTAAAAAAGGTAAAGGCTGTTATAATAGGGCGGCCACAGGGATTGCTGGGTCTCTGAAATGCTGTATTTATAGGGAGTTGTGTGTGTGTCTCTGTGATGACCACCGTGTTTCAGCAGCTGTCAGTGGCCATATGGCCCACACAAATCGCTTTTCAACTTTGGGCTTGAAATAACATCACATTGTGTCCGGTTTCCAGAGTGTTCCAGACATGGACAGGCCAGACTCCAGGGGAATACCAGTCTATATTCAGTCATTTAATCCAAGTCCAGCACTTTGTGATAAACTGTCGTAATAAGCAACAGTTCATTGAGCTGCTGTCATCCACGGCACTGCGTTTGAACATGAACAGAAATCCTGCCAAAAGTTCTGCCATTAGAAGATTAAAGTTGATACAATAAACGTATTAATTATGTGTTACATTAAAATGATCAAGAACTCGTTATGTTTGATGTCATGGGATTTGATTTGAATGATCACAGATGCCTAATTGTGTGAACTTGACTGTAACTGACATGTACCAACGGTTCTGCAAATCATAAGGGTTTCAGAAACACTCCTTGACTTCTTGCTCTTTCACACATGTGAGTAACAGGTGGACTAAGCTGAAGGCGGCAATGGTGGATTACTATGATGTGCTGGGAGTGTCACGAAATGCTTCTCCAGATGACATCAAGAAAGCGTAAGTTAAAACTGCCTTCACTTATCAGTAGCTTGCAGCATACCTTTGGCATTGGTGTTATTGAATGTAGCTAACTAAATTGCTCTCTAACAGATGTAAGTGAAGACTCAAGTATTTTGAGACTTACTGTTTACTTTTATAAAGTATTCATCAGCAGTGAAATAGATACACTACCGTTCAAAAGCCGTTGCTCAGCAAGTTTGCGTTCATTTTATGAAAAATACAGTGAAAAATGTAATATTGTGAAATTATTACAGAAAAGATAATTGTGGATGACTTTTATTCTTTGTTTATATCTTCCAATTATGACCTTTTTCTCAGAATTGAGAGTTTAGGCTAAGTATCAAAGCAAGTTTCCATAATTTTAATATATTTGAAAATGTAATGCATTCCTGTGATGCAAAACTGAATTTTCTGCATCATTACTCCAGTCTTCAGTGTTCAGAAATCATTCTAATATGCCGATTCGGTGCCCAAGAAACTTTTAATATTATTATCAATGTTCAAAACAGATGTGCATTTCAATATTTTGAAAATGAAGTTCATAAATGACAGTGTCATAAAATGTAATTCTGCTTCTTTGCTGTGGTCTGTAACTCTGACTATTTGACCTATGCTAATATCTTTAGTAAAGCCACACTTTACTAAAGATAAGACTAATGGATTTTATAGTTTTGCCACTAGTTTTTATTTTCTGCTTTTCCTTCAAACGAAGTAGAACGATCAAGCTGAGATGCCTGAGTTGTAAAAAAGTGATCATTCACAAAGGACAATATTTAACTTGACTTGGTCCTCAAAAATGGGGAATTCATGGAGCAAGATGCTAAAAACAAATATGAATCACAGCAGTCTAATATGTCAGTCTAATGTTTATATAGAAGAAGATGGATGCAAGAATGTGTCATATGTGAATGACCCTTGACCCTATATGTCACTTCATCACAATCTTGAGATGCCAGTCAAGCTAAGTTTACTCATGTTTGTTAATGTTTGTGTATACAGTTACAGGAAACAGGCTCTACGGTGGCACCCTGACAAAAACCCAGACAACAAGGAAGAGGCGGAGACCAAATTTAAGGAGATAGCAGAGGCCTATGAAGTTCTTTCAGACGGTAGGGACACTGGAAATTTGAACTCTACAGCTATTTTATTCATGATTAAATTACTTGAAAGGCATAAGTTACGTAGGGTGTTACATTTAGTTTTTTTCTCATTTTCAAGGAAGCAAACGAGATGCTTACGACAGATACGGTAGATCAGACATGCCAAGCTCAGGTGAGGAGAACTTCATACTGCTTGATACCGTCTTATTGTTAAATGTGCTTATGTGATATTTTAATTGTTCTCTACATCTGTTTTATAGGCTCTGGTGGTTCTTCATTTCCTGATGACTTCCCAGGATTCACCTTCACATTCCGCAGCCCAGATGAGGTGTTTCGAGAGTTCTTCGGAGGGCAGGACCCATTCGCAGACTTCTTTGGTGGGTTCTCAGGGAGTTAGTGGGTAGATATACTGATCTTGAATCTTGCTCATATACTAGTGCGAGTGTTTTCTCTGTGTCAGAATTTCCCTTATACCAGTGGTTCTCAAAACCAGGGGGCCGGGGCCCACTAAGGGGTCTCTGCAAACATCCAGGGGGCCCCTAATACGTCATAAAATTATTTACATTTAGTTCATGATCTTAATTAAAATGCTAAAAACTAAGACATAGACTAGATATTAAGGCCAAAAATAAATCTTAAAAAATTGTAGCCCACAAGAAGCTTGAAATACAAGTTGTCTGTACGCCAATTTGAAGCAGCAACAAAAAATAAACAAAAAGAAGAATATAAAAGAGAATGGTTGCTTGCTGATGTTCTGTTGATTCCTCCTCCTGAACTTTCCCTTGCCCCGTATCTTGCTCTCTCATAGGCTATAGGTCATTGGCGATTTCATTTCCAGGGTATCGGGGACAAATTGGCGCTTCTCTTAGATTGCAAAAATCGGGAATAAAATCATGCAGTGTGTACTTAGCATTACCCTCTTTAACCATCTCGCTTTTTCTACACTCCCCCACTTTGCCACTAGATGATTTCCCATTTGGTGGAATGCACAGTGGGTTTCACAGCTCCTCCTCCAGGCTTGGGCCCAGTCGCTTCTTCTCCTTCCCCTCAGCAAATGGTTGGTTTTTAAACTGGTTTCATGCTTATTTTTTATATAATTATAGCATATGTGGTCAGTCTTCTCCCAGATTATTACTTAATTTAGGTGAACTTTGCTGAATATATCTTGATAAGATAAGATAAAAAACTCCAAGGCATGTTGTTGATATGAAAGTATAGTTCCAATTGCTTTATATTGTGTTTTCAATTTATTAAGAGCTGCTTCTTTTTTAGCTTGAAATACAAGTTGTCTGTACGCCAATTTGAAGCAACAACAACAACAAAAAATAAATAAAAAGAAGAATATAAAAGAGAATGGTTGCTTGCTGATGTTCTGTTGATTCCTCCTCCTGAACTTTCCCTTGCCCCGTATCTTGCTCTCTCATAGGCTATAGGTCATTGGCGATTTCATTTCCAGGGTATCGGGGACAAATTGGCGCTTCTCTTAGATTGCAAAAATCGGGAATAAAATCATGCAGTGTGTACTTAGCATTACCCTCTTTAACCATCTCGCTTTTTCTACACTCCCCCACTTTGCCACTAGATGATTTCCCATTTGGTGGAATGCACAGTGGGTTTCACAGCTCCTCCTCCAGGCTTGGGCCCAGTCGCTTCTTCTCCTTCCCCTCAGCAAATGGTTGGTTTTTAAACTGGTTTCATGCTTATTTTTTATATAATTATAGCATATGTGGTCAGTCTTCTCCCAGATTATTACTTAATTTAGGTGAACTTTGCTGAATATATCTTGATAAGATAAGATAAAAAACTCCAAGGCATGTTGTTGATATGAAAGTATAGTTCCAATTGCTTTATATTGTGTTTTCAATTTATTAAGAGCTGCTTCTTTTTTTTTTTCTTTTTTTTTGATCAACAGCTGATTTCACCTCCTTCTCTTCTTCAGTGGGTGGGATGGGCAGCATGGGAGGAGCAAACTTCAAGTCTGTTTCTACTTCCACCCGCATTGTCAGTGGAAAACGTATTACCACAAAAAAGTCAGTTTGCTTCCAATTTTTATTTTTTATTTCAATTTATTTGAAATGTGATTTTGAAATCACAGAAAAAATGCGTCCTGCACATTAAACATGAAATTTGTTTTTGATTAAATGAGTAATTTAATTGCAGTTGATGTAGAATAGTAAAAGTTGGTTTATACCGTGCCATAATGTGAAGGCATGACTTACAGAAAGTCAAAGCAATTCAAGTTTGTTTATGTATTTCCTATTTATTGGTAAACATTGCATTTCTTCCCTCAGGGTCAGAGAAAATGGCCAGGAGAGAACAGAGGTTGAGGAGGATGGGGTTTTGAAAACTGTCCTCATCAATGGTAATTAATTTTTTGCTATCATTTAATAATAATATAAGGCCAAAAGGCAATCTCTATAGTTAATGCACACATTCTGGTGTGCAATAAAAATTCACCTTATCAGCTCAGGATGAATCTGCCTGGGAAAGATGCATTTGGAATGCTAATACACATAACCTACCCTTCAAACGTTTGGGGTCAATAAGATTTTTTTGTTAAAGAAATGAATACTTTTATTTAGAAAGAATGCATTAAATTAATAAAAAATAAAAAAAATACAGTAAAGACATAAAAATCTATTGTTATAATGTAACAAAGGATTTCTATTTGAAATAAATGTTGTTCTTTTGAACTTTCTGTTCATCAAAGAATCCCGAAAAAATGTCAAATGTGTTTCCACTAAATATAAAGCCGCACAACTGTTTTCAACATTGATAAATGATGATAAATGTTTCTTGAGCAGCAAATCAGAATTATTTCTGGGGCATCATGTGACACTGAAGACTGGCGTAATGATGCTGAAAATTCAGCTTTGCATCACAAGAATAAATTACAGTTAAAAATATATTCAAATAGAAAACAGTTCTTTTAAATTGTAAAAATATTTCGCAATATTTCTTACTGTATTTTGACCAAATAAATGCAGCCTTGGTGAGCATAAGAGACTTCTTTCAAAAACATTAAAAAATCAATTTATTATCAGTGTTGAAAACAGTGTTGCTGCTTAATGTTTTGTGGAAACCGAAACATGTTTTTTTTTTCAAGATTTTTTGATGAATAGAAAGGTCTTTTGTAACATTGTAAATGTTTACTGACCCCAAACGTTTGATCTTACTGTATTTTGACCAAATAAATGCAGCCTTGGTGAGCATAAGAGACTTCTTTCAAAAACATTAAAAAATCTAACCGACCTCAAACATTTGAACAGTAGTGTACACTTGTAGGAAATCACGAGATCATATAACTGGAAAATACAAATAATGGTATACCATTATTAGACCCCAAACATTTAAACGGTAATGTATGTGTAAATCATAACCATTTGGCTTGGTTATAAAAGTGATTTTTTTGAATATTTTAGAGTTTAACACAACACTCTTGCATCCTGGTGCAAAGACATGTCATTTTTTGGTACATCTTTATCCTTGTTTTCTTAATCTTTGCTTGTTGTCTAATGTCTACTAAATAACTTCATCTTGCTTTAAAGGTTTTAAGGACTTTTCCCTTTTATTGCAGTGAAAACTAAGGAATTTTCTCTAATTCATCCACTTGTCACTGTAGATTACAAGTAGAACTATTTATGTTTAAACCCTTACTTCCTGTTTTAGTGCTAAGAACTTCTCAAATAACTCTAAACCACTAATTTAGTTATTCTCTTATGATTTGAGCCACACAGCCATACCGGAACATTTAATAAAATGAATAATAACACATTTTCCTCCAACTGTTTACATTCCTGAATATAGACTCAAAACAGCAGCTTAGGCTTGCAGGGAGATTTAGCTAACTCATTACATTTCATGCCAGCTTCTTGGTTTTCCATATGCCGATTCCTCATTACCAAACGTGTTGCTGCAGAACTGATCTGACATTCAGCTGTGTTTGTGTGTCCAGGTGTGGAGGATGAGATGGCCTTAGCTCTGGAACTGAGTCGTAGAGAGCAGTCCAGTCAGCCTCCCAGACAATCCCAACATCCACTGCTCCGCCCCTCCAACAACAGCTCTCCAAACCCCGCTTTACGCTCCTACAGCGCCGCCCCGTTCTGCCACTGCCCCGATGCCAAGGAAGATGAGGAGGACGAAGACCTGCAGATGGCGCTGGCCTACAGCTTGTCGGAGATGGAGGCCCAGCAGCGGGCAGAGGACGTGATCTCAGGTGCTGGGGGAGGGAGGGGGAAGCAACCAGGTGGTGAGAAGGGTGCCGTTCAAAAAAACAAATATCAGAGAGAAGTGCTGGATAATTCAGATCAAAGCACCCCCTCGTCTCCAGAGGATAGACTGACAGAACAGAGTCAGGCTAGTGGTTCAGAAAGTGTTGTTGTACAGAATAAGGAGAATGACAAAGTGGCGGCCAGTGGGACTAATGTGGAAAGAAAGAGGAGGAAGTGTCAGTGCGTGGTGTGTTAGTAAGAATGTGGAGAAAAATCATGCTTGTGTGTGAAATTAACCTTATGTTTTCATCCTATGGTTGTTGTTTTTTTATCCTTCCTGAAGTTTTTGACTTACAACTCTGTCTCTTATGGCATTGCACAAAAAAAACACAAAGTCAGGAAATTTTACAACAGGACATTTTGAAGGAACTGTTTGCAATATTTTAGAATGCCATGCGCAAAATGTCCTGCTGTCTGACAGATATCACTGAAATAGGTGTCTTGGGATATAATTTGCCAGCCTTCACTCTGTAAACAGTAAAAATAGTAAAGTCACTTTTGTAGCCAATCAGAAACACTGTCTGCCTGTGAATCGCTTGGGATTGCTGAAATCAGGTTGACTGACATGTTTTTACAGGGTGCGATTTTGGGATTTTGGAGAGCAGGTATATGGTTAGCAAAAGTTAGCAAAAAGGTGAAAGTTTACATAATGGCTGAAATCTGTTACAGCACCTTTAAATCCGATATTCAACATGACTTTTTTGCTGCCAAACCAAGATTAATTCTCTGCGCTTACATTTTCACTTAGATCAAATAAATTGCTACTGAGTAAGTTGCTGCACTCTAACCAGTGGTTCCCACAGTCTTGGAAAACCTAGATATATGAGGTAGCCTAATTTTACAAGTGTGATTTCTAGACTTGGAAAAGTAATGTAAATTAACTGTAAAAGTCATGGGACCTTTGAATATAGTTGTGTAAGATTGAGTTTTAATGGCTTTTCTTAGTGTTACAATGCATCTGAATGGATATCTTGCTGATTAGTTGGCGTCCCATTCCCAATGAACCTTTCATTTATTCTTCCAGCAGTGAAGTGCTCTGTTTCATCCATATTCACATTTACTGCTATTGTTCCTTCAAGAAAGGAGATTCTCTGATTTATGACTGGATGCGTTCTGATTTTTACTGTGCATTTGTCATTGCTTCAGAGGTACCTGTTGAATGTGAATGACCCATTCCCAACCTTTCATTTATTCTTCCAGCAGTGAAGTGCTCTGTTTCATCCATATTCACATTTACTGCTATTGTTCCTTCAAGAAAGGAGATTCTCTGATTTATGACTGGATGCGTTCTGATTTTTACTGTGCATTTATTTG